TTTAGCATCAAGGCTCTGCATTATGATAGCTCGGGCCTTGGCAACCTTCAGCTTTGTGGGTTCGTCCAATTCTTGTGTTCCGTCTGCAACAACGTCTTCTCTTACGACGATGAGCACTTCCTGAGCCTCCAGAGCAGCCTCTGTCCTTGCTGACCATAGATTAAAGTCTTCACCGGGTCGTCCATAAAACTTATAGACACGTTTGTTGTCCGCCATGGTCGGTTAAGACCATACAAGACCTGCGAGAATCTTGCAAAATCGTTAGACTCTGAGACGAGGTAAAGAACTTTTTCTCCTTCTGGGCCCATAACCAAAACAGACTTCAATCGAACTTGGACACGACTTGGTGCCTTCTTTAATTCTGGAGACTGACTAGGTCTCCCTTTATATAATGTAGACGCAACGCTAACTACTCACAACAGTGGTGTTCGCGAACATTCCTAGACTACAGTATTTGTAATTACACATCATCGACGTAAGCCAAACTAGTAGGATAAGAGTACAAATGTGTAAAGGACTGGAGAGCTCGTAGGATGCATTTCTGCGATCCCCGTGGATGAGTTGAAACTGATTGCCAACGCATTTGCACCTTCCCCAGAATATACACACGCCAAAAACCCATCAGGACAGTAATTAACCGGATCCTCGTCGGGTGCCTGCGGGATCACAACCGGTGCTTACGTCAATCCTGCCTCGCACCAAGGCCGTGCTTCAACTGATTTGCCAAGTTCCCGAATTCCTCAATGTGGGTGGAAGCGAATATGTCATAAGGGACCACAGATCGGGCTTCACGGAAAAGCACAAAACGCCAGGGGGGTTATATGCATCTCATTCTCCGCGGATCTCAGAGGCGTAATCGGTGCATTTGGCCAGGTTTTGCGAAACCCGATCGAAAATACGCACCACCGATGGATAGTGGACTGCCAAGAAATATGCAAATCTCTCTCAGGGTGTGGAAGACAAGATATCGCTCTACTGTACGAGATACGGCAAAAGATTACGACTCTCACTCGTGATCCCAGCTGTTCTCTTGACATCGTATGGATCAGCTCCCATTGTGGGCTGCAAAGCAACGACCAAGCTGACAAGTTAGCGAAGCTGGCGCTCAAATTGCCACTGCGCGAAAAACTCACGGTCGCTGTCGAATTTCACGACGCCAAAGCGGCAATTCGTCGAGCAAGGAGGAGGGCCGCCAACTATGTTGAAGAGCTCCCTGACAACATGCAGGGTAATTAGACGAGAAGAAAGGAGCGAGTCATCCTAAACCAGTTTTATACCGGATGTTGTGCTCTATTCCAACCATTGAGGGGCATTCTTAAGCTAGGAAACAGAACCTGCCGGCTCTGTGACGCAGAACACACAGTCTCTCATTTTTTCACATGCGCCGCCCGCTCAGCACGGAGGAGAGCTCACTTTACAGACAGAGAAGAATGGAGAGCTAGAATACTTCGAAAACCGCTTCAGATACTGGCGTACTTAGTTGGGGAAGGAGAGCCCGAACTAAAAGGGCTTTCCGGGTTAGAGAGGAATTAACTCTAGCCCCTCACAAAAAACAGAAGATAAAGACAGAGTATATTGTGGAGACCACAGACTATGTGTCGCAATTTTCATGTCGCTGAGGGTAGCGCGATGGCCTCGCAGTGGTCGTTTTCCGTTTTTGCTTCACGAATAGACAATGCGGCCGAGGAGAAGTTCTTATTAGATTTTTACCTTGATCTTTCGATGGGGCGCCTTCTCGCTTGTTGCGAAGAAGTCGACCCCTTTATTCAATGTTCCTCTTTCCAATCCTAACACTGTCAAGCGTAGCTGAGGGACTACCTAAGAGAGGAACATGACGGACATCCGTGCTAGCCGTACTGTATAGTCCCGTTATGGCTTCCAGCTAGGAAGTCTTTGTGATATATCGCAAATACAATTACGATCCTTATCGATCTATCCAGGCTCACAAAATACCACGAGCTAAATATCCAAGTAGAGCCATCTGCTCTACTCTGACAGTTCTCTAATCTTAAGCATGTATGTGGAGCATCCACTGTCTGCATCGCAGGACTTTGCGAGAGAATTTTAATCAGTGTTAACCCGGGGGATTCAGGTTTGATTGTGATTCGGAACGGAATCATAATTTTCAAAACAGAGCCGCAACAAGTTAGTTTCAACATCCCGTATCAGTTAAGTCAAAAGAAACCAGAAACTATCGACGAGGGAACGTACTTTCAAATAGAAGTGCGATGTGGCGATCTCATCATTGCGGGAAGTGATGGACTGTGGGATAACGTGTATCCGGAACGAGTTGCTAGAATTGTTGGAATTGCGCTGCAAATTTCTGCTAGGCAGGCGATGGAGACTAGGACGAAAACTGCGGCAAACGAACTGGCAACTCATGCCAAGCTAGCTGCCCGCGCCAAAACAGGTTTGTCGCCTTTTTCCACAGCTGCAAAAGCCGCTGGGATAGACTACGAGGGTGGGAAAATGGATGATGTATCCGTTCTTGTTTCAGTGGTGCAATGTGAATAAACAAACGATATGGTTCCAAGCTTACTGATCCATTTCCTCTTCAAAAAACTTTTTTTTTGAAACCATTGCCTCAAATGACCGTCGTTATGTACTTTTTTCTGTCGTGAGCTAAAAATATACGATGCGCAGTACGAGAATGTGATGACTACAGGGTAACAGCCGTCACGAGAACGAAAGGTTCGTTCAGAAGTACACTGTGAAAAAAATAAAGAAATGAATGTTGCTGGGTATCGTATTTGGTTTACGATAATGTGCTAGCAAGAGCCAATACCACTATTTGCTTCTGCTGGTATATCCATTCCACTTTCACAGAAACTTTGCTTCATGTAAACGTGATCAATGAAATCTCGTCAGAAGCGTGTGGGGCGGATATGTGTCTGCCCGTTGCCATCAATTAGGAGCGACGAACGTACAGATAAACTTGATGTCTGTTTATTATAGCAAATCCCGTAAGCGCTTTGTGGGTGACATGGTTCTCTAATAACTACTGAAAGACACAGTTTATATCTAACTGTAGCACAACGGCATCATTTAGACAGGATTTGTATCTCTACGGAATTATCAGCATGTCGGTGTATCGAGGAAATCCTTCTCGTCTTGAGAGACATTACTCCATAACGTTGGGAAGTCGCAAAGTCCGATGGGTCTGGTTTTCTTCGGGCACGTTCCATCGTTAGACATTTGCTCGCCGTTGAGGTTCAACAGATACTCGCTACCAATAGAGAGGTTGACACCGCAAAGGCCATCATTGACTGCTGTATCCAAAAAGATTATATTGTCCTCAGCGCTTGGGCCCTTGAACGTTTCAAGCACCTTGACAATGAAGAAGAATTTTCCTTCGAATTGGTCCTCGATGGGATCGCATGTCCCAGGGCAGTTATCAAATTTTGCAAGTACTTTTGCTCGAATAGAAAGAGTGCTACCGCAAAAGCGCTCCTCAAACGTCTGTTCGAAGCAAGAGCATGATAGCGCAACGTGCGTAAGCATGGCCATGAAGAGCGCGACGGTGAAAAGGCGTGCCATTGTGAAGTTCGTTTCAGTGGTACGGAGATCTTCGGTGTTACGGCGGGATGCAGCTTTGCTGCAGCAGTCGAAAAGAAAATCTAAGCGAGAGACGTGTTGCTCATATTTATAGTATAGACGGGGTTGGTCGCGTGCCGCTGGTACCTATTCTTCCCTCAAGACAGGGGGTGCACACTAGAATAGTGGCGAAACAAGGAGAGGTTTCAGAAATTTCAGTCCGATTTTGGGCTCCCAGATTGCACAATTCCGGTTACACGATGGCCATTCATGGACAGACTTCAGACCTCAGAACTGCCTGCCCTTTTTTGCCAGCTGCACAAGCGTTTGAATTCTAGACTCCACATTCTACATGTCCATGTTGTCGAAATTAGAGAATCAAGCTGGCCCGACTATGGAATGTGGTGCCTGCATTGTTGTGTCCATGCACAGAGGCGCGGATAATCTGGCGCATATCCAATGACAACGAAACAAAAGCGACTTCGCTTGTGCAGATACTCTCCGTGCCTCCCTACAGCTTGCCTTCATCGCCGAAACTTACCTTGTTCCGGGGCCAAGAATGCAGACATGTGGTTCTGAGGGGAATTAATCAAATGAGCTCCATAAAACTGCCCTAAACCAGATCGCCCCGTTCCAAACGCTCGATGAAAAGGTTCATTATTTGGAAGCATTGGATGTTGAGGGTTGTGCCGCCGTGTTGTTCAAGTTCCAAGAATCTCAGATGATACGTATTGCCTTCACCTCCATCCATCTCATAATATCAGGAGAAAGCAGCACCCGCACACTGGACGAGGTGATTACCGGCAGACACCTTTCTCTTCTTTCGCATTGGATACCCGTACGTGACAAAAATCGACACGTTTCGAAAAGCGTTGCAAAAAATGTAACGTTTTGTCCGTTGTTTTTATTTCTGAAGTAAAATCAAAACGGACGAAACTTTTTCTACTCCGTCTCTCAGACAAGAGGTACGTATCCGGGAACATCCACAGTTTCATGCGTATCGTACCAGTAGGGCCGGGGGCACGAAGTAGATGGAGGGCATGATGGCAATAGATTTTTTAAAAAAGCATTGCCGTGATTCATCAAGGAACTGCTGCTGACATAGCGACAAATTGTGTGTCCTGGGTCAAGTGGAAGCAACAAACCAGATGGTGGGAGAAGAATCAACATAAGCCAGTGTCAGACCCGTTCCAGAGTCCGGGATGATTTGAATGGGGATTTTGTCTCCTTTTTGACGTGAACCACAACCACCTCGAAACATCCTTCTACTGGACCTTTTTTGTGTATGCCCCTAAACAATCGAGGGAACCGAGGTACGCACGGCGGAACTTGTGTGCTTTCATCTTATCTCGCTAAAATTTGCGTCACTGTACCAAGGACGCTTGAGTCGTTGCACGAATCTCAAGAAGTGGCGGCCGCTCTGTGATCGCATGAGAATAAAAAGGTGAGCCGGTGTGTCAACATAGATGTTCATAATTTACAAAGACACAGCTTGGCCCAGAAAGAATCCTCCTGAAGCTGCTATTTTGGGTCAATCACTTCCAGCGTGCCTTCTCTCCCCGTCCAACAAATTTCTCCCGGGTGGGGACTCTACCCTCTCAGGGACACATGAATCTACTCATCCGCTTACGAGGATGGTAGGAGGCACTGACCATCTCCGCCCGGCACACCATCGCAGACACAAACATCTTTGACAACTACACCGCGACACTTTCGGCAGCAACGTGAGTACACATCCGACAAACTGTCCTTCGAAGGCTTTTTCGTCATACACGCAGTCTGAAGCCGCTTTCGTATGCAACGCACGAGGCAGACGGGCCGTGTTGGCCATGCGTAAGGGAAGGGGAGGACGAGTGGGTATAGGCAGCCCCTGCAGCCAGCGTAAATATTTCCCGGGGCGACGAGCGTGTAGGGCGAGCAGAAGTTGGGCACGGGCGGGCGGCATTTCCACTTGGGGTTGCGCCCGGTGTTGCACAGCAGCACGCGGCAGCCGCGGTGGCGGCAGAACCTTAGGACGGAGCGGTTGGCCGAGCAGGGGAAGCTGCACTGCCTGCGGTTGGCGATCTGGACAGGGATCGGGAGCTGGCGCGAGGAGGGGTGCTGGGCAGACGCAGCGGCGGGGCGCAGGTGCAGCACGAGGAGCAGGATGGGCAGCAGAAGCAGCGGTGTCGCAGATGTGGTCAGGTGCAAAGGGAGGCGGCGGGGCTTGGCGTGGAGGGTTTGGTGTAGAAGTGGTTGAGGGTGGGGGGCCGGGAAGTGAGGCGGTTGGGGAACGGAAGGTGCCATGGGAAACAAGGCTGGGCGGGAAATGAGTGGACTTTTGCGGTGCGATAACCACTGAGCAAAAGGGGAGGTGCCGCTGGCCAACGACATGAGGGGGAATGACTGGGAGTCATATGAAGGAATCACCACATACAGTATAGGAATTGTAGGCGTTGGTGTTCCAAAGTTGAGGTGGTTGATGTGGAACTGTAGTTGAACATGGGGCAGTGTGGCCGGTGTTTGGGCTGGATTGCGATGAGATTGTTGGGCGTGCTTCGTGGAAAGGGTCTATGCATATGAGTGGGATTGTCTATGAGTGGTTCCCGCGGAAGCATCTCGTTGCCAGGTATTGCTTTGGGGGATTTTCCTTTATCTTGGCGAGTAAGCAGCGGGATGGCCGTCGGATAGACGGCTTTATACTCGTCAGATTTCCACGTTTCGTTGATATTATGCATGCCGCACACGGCTATATTGGCGCGCTCAAGCTACAATACTAGATGGAATTTCGTGTATTTATGGCAATTTGGCGCGGGTTTTTGAAGATAACTCATTTACTTTATACTGTATCTGAGCATTTTCTAGTCTCTATAGACGGGTTCGTCGTGTGTTGCTGGTCTTGTAGGCAAGAGTTTTCTCAGAAAGGTGAATACGAAGTGCTATTTTGGTCGCTGTCGACGGTGTATTTATTGCAGTTTCGCGTACCCTTGGCACTGCATATCCAATATTCTCGTACATCCTCCTGGTTAGCTCAGGAGGACAACAACCGTACAGGAAGAGTACAGCTTCTCTCACGGGCACGCACACCAGCGACAATCACTTCCTCCCTTCTGACCCAGCACCGCTCACTCTCGTCTCCCGACATTCCCTTTACCCCCCGAGTCCATGCGTCCCCCGTACGCCTACTTTTCCCGTCCTTCAACAGCCCAATGCCCCCTTCCCACACTGCCTCCACGGCCCCATCCCGCCGATCAACGAGCTCCCTCACCTCTCCGCCGACGGACGTTGACCACTTCTCTTCCGCAGTCTCCACGCAAAACGATGCCACCGCTCCGCGCACCGTCCCCACAAACACCTCCGCCGCCCCCTTCGACGGGCATGCCGCCTTCGTCCCCCGGACACGCACCGTCGTCGAGCTCGTTTTCCACTTCCCGCAACTTGACTCCACGTAGATTTTCGTCTCCAGATACGCCCGCGTCACTGTGAAAGCTCTCCCGCACCGGCTCACCCCGATGCTTGTGATCTCGTTCGACCCATCAATCCGCTTCTTCTCGACGCACTCTAGCTTGCCTGCGTCGCTCACCCTCAGCACGCGCAAGTAGTACCTCTCCTGCGGGTCCTCCCTTACCCCAACCACGATGGTCCGCTCCTTCCCGCGCCCCCCTTCTCCCCACGCTTCGGCGTACCCATCAAAGTCCCTTGACGCCAGCGACTCCCCGACAGGAAACCCAAGAACGTCCACACGCGTCACTTGTTTGCGAGTGTTCACGAGCACGCATGCGCTCTTCAACGCCTCGAAAAAGGCGGACGACCCCTTCTCAAACCGCGGCTTGCTGCCCTCTCGCCATGACAAAGGCAGCGGATGACGAATCGCGCAGTGCCCTTCGAAAGTGCTCAAGTCTGTGCGTAGCATTCTCTGAGTAGCCATTTTGTGCTTTGTGCCTTTTTGCTTGTGCCTCTCGCTACACTACCTTACCTCTCGTCCTCAAAGCACCGCTTAAGTATTAGCCCGATGGCGCTGTCGATTCACTCTGTTTTCTGAACGTTGCGCAACAACCGCTGACGTAATCCCGGCGGCTTTCGATACTTGCAAAATTCTCTCCAATAGTTCTTCACGATGCACAAGTTACTTAGACTTATTCGTACTGGTTGTGCAACTGGTCGTGATTGATCAATGGTCTCGGAAGGACCGGGATCCCGTCCATTTAGTACATTCCGGCAAAGCAGAACGACAACAAAGGACTTTGGGAGGCAAAACTGCTATCATATCGTCAGCGGTCGTGTGCTACATGAACGGTAAATTATCGTCCATTTGCATCCTTTTACGTGTTTCAAGACCGTTTTCAATTCTCCTTCGAGTCCTTAAAGATATTTCTTTTTCTCAACGCAGCCATAGGGTAGGGTGGGTATCTCAACGCATCACATGTATTCAGAATTGCAGTGAACATTATGGACTTCAAAAGCATTGATCCGTGCTGTATCAAAAAGGTGAGGTGTTCGCTGTTCGTGAGGAGTACCAATTCGGCGGTCGGCCCTCTCATTTCTCCGTGTTAAAGAAAGTGTACTTCCTTGATGTCGAAAGTGAACCCTTCTGCTTCTGTCAGACTGAATTCGGGTTATTGAACCGTAGGCCAGCCATCCCATATAGCCACAGCTCACCCTAATTCTCCGCATATGGTAGGGTCAGTTATTAGAAAACGGTTGGAGGAGACTTCAATTGGATATCCACTACTGTACACCTGTTTCCACCGATATGTATTTTTGCAAAGAAATGCATGTGAAATTGAAAATCATTTCGGAGTTGAGGCGAGTGATAATTGGCCATCCGATTAATACATCGTGTCCAAACATGTCGTGCTCCAGCACGACATGTGGCAATGAAATTTGTCTTAGTCTTTTCAATAGAACTCAATCCCATTTTTGAAAGAGAAAAGTGGAACCAACACTTTTCTTGATACTTTTAAACAGAGTGGAAGAAATTAATATTTATATGGAAATAAGAGTGGGGGATGACGAATATCCTCCAAAAGAGGTCAGGTTTAATAAATTCGAAGAGTGATGTGTGGTACATGTTCTTGAATCTTGCGCATCAGGTCTGTGCATTGAACCTACCATTATGTCATACACGCCGTACAGTACTCAAAACCTGACAATAAACGTTTCGTGTGAGTTAAAAAGCTTGCAGGCACATTAAATATGTCTGCGATTGTCTCCGGTAGGTACAGATTAAGAATGAATGAAGGATGAGGAGACTTGTTGATCTCTAAAAAAGCAGGACTACCTTCTTTGTTCAAAGAGTAAACGGTTGTGATGCGGTAGTTCGGAATTTATCAGATGCTTTTCATATTCCCACAGACAATCCCGACTTTGATCGATTCTGTCTGATAGCTTGGAAAAAGGTTCGTAGTGGATGACCATTGCCACTGAGGCACCGTGTTCAGTTATACTTAGAGGCATGCCATGTTAGGAAATACGAAAGAGTTGTTAAGCACCTGTGAAAGCCGTTTGGTGAGGTATTTGCGCGCTGTATAGAGCGTTGGGATATGTCGTATCGCCCTCAAGGGAGATTGAAAATATTCTAAGAAATGATTCATGCTGTATAGACATGTTAAAATGGTTTTAAGCGTAGATGGATAACAATCTACGTTACAACTTTTTTATACCCGTTTGCCAATTAAACAAAAAGAATCCGATGTTGTCTACCTGAAAAGAAAACTGACGAAAATTCAAGTTGTTTCGAGGTCGGAAACATAAAATGGGGAGACCATGACAAGGCGGTTGACGTACAGATATATTCGTATTTAAATGCTAAGGATAAAAGAGGTGACGGATAGTCTCAATGACATCGTTACAAGTTTTGAATGAAACGGATACACCCGATTTTGACAAACAACAGCATATTTAAGGCAGCAGAAAGATGTCAAATCTCGCAGTTCTCCTTACGCCACATCTCTCAAACAACACCAGCCTTTCCAGTAGCACACACACTAGCTAACATGGACGAATGCTGCATTTGCCTGATCGACCTGTCGCACACGTCGAACCCCGTACTCGCGCCCTGCGGGCACATTTTTCACGAAAACTGCATCAGAGAGCTAGTGGAGGCACACCGTGTACGAAGATGCCCTCTGTGCCGTAGGATGCTGCCGGGATCAGTTGCACAGTTTGAAAGGGTTCAGCCAGAGGATCTGGGCCGTAGAGAAACGAACGAGAGCGATTCGGGTTGGGTGGTGATTGTTGAGAGTTTGAGAGAGGAAGTAGAGAGGCTAAGTGTTTCGGATGCCGAGCAAGGGCGCACGTATGAGCACCTTTGCGTGAGTGACGTGATGCAATTTTTTGCGGAAAGTTACCACTGGAGGTTGGCGAGGTGTTTCACCGGGTAGCTCGGTGACGGTAGAACATCCTACCCACAATGTTACGAAGGCCAAGCCAAGTTGTGTGCAAATGTGATCACTTTGAACTGTAGTCAAGCTGTAAAGTGTTTAATGTAAATTAGAAACACCTTCACCAATGTTTAGAAACAATAGGCCGTCCAAAACCAACACGTATTCGAAAGTGTTCCTGTAGCCCACAAATCCATTTTTTAGCTGTATTTATAGACATCCATTTACATGATGTGCTACAAATACGCAACCCGAGCTGCTGCACCCCTTTTCGGTCTTATCACACAACCCCTACCAGCACTGTGCCACTGGGTATATCCACTGTAATGAAA